TGGTACTGCCATGGACCCTGATTCCATGGCATGAGGAGGAATGCAGGGGACCTAAAGCCCATTAGATCTAATGGTTCCCACAGCAGATTATTCTCTGTAATGTCTTCTGCTACTGAAATATATGTATAATATAGGATATGGATAACGCAATGGAAACACACATGGTGTAAAGGCCTTTGAATGAACTAAATCGCCATTACTAATTTAGGTTAGATGATTCATTAGGTTTAAAGTCAATTAGCAGTATGTTTAACAATCAACAGTTTGATATGTGAGTTTTCAGATCAAATAGTGAAATAGTCGCTCCATGAATTGCAGGTGCATCAGTCACAAAAACTGCAAAATCATTTTATCTATCAAGGGGAAGAGCCTCAAACATTGACAGTCACAGAGGGGCATTATACTGGCGAAGAGGAGCAGTGGTTACAGGTTGAAGTTCACTGGGGATTGACGTAAACTTAACAAAATAGTAGCCAAAATACCACAAAATCATGGGCTGGAAAATTACTGCAGGATTGAACCAGCACCTCTGTGACCTAGTCTCAAAAAAAAAAAATCGGTATTCGTGGCAGGGTTGCTATGTGTAAATCGCGCATATCCAAGGTGCAAGGACGCATAATTCAGTGCAGGGAGTACAAAACACGAGCTTCTGAACAAAGGAAACGAGGTTAAGGTCTGAGTCATCATTCGCCTTTTTTTTTTGTTTTGTTATATCCAGACGGGTTTCCGTTTGGAGCAAGACAAAGGAGGCCTTCAGCCTACCCTGTCTATTACCAGCTGTTACATGGTGAGGGATCAGCAGTGAAGGAATATTACCCAGAGAACACTGTGGTGCAAACACTTGCCTCTGTGTTTTCATTGTTTTGTCCGCCTAGTGTGCGTGTATATATATAATTTGTTCACTTTTAATAATTTTTAATCCTTTTGTTTTGAGAGCTGTAGTTTAACAAGCATCCGCCCAGGGATTGGTAATGCAGGATGTTCTGCCTTGTCTGAGGAGGCTGTCCTTCGAAGGCCTATCAGTTGATGCACAGAGCCTGCGTGTGGCCATTTGAGTTGGGCATTTATGCTCGGCAGGTATGGAGTCTTTACCTTCTGTCATGGGTTCCTGGTTTTCCATATGCTGCTTATGTTTGCAAGTTTAAGCATCAGTGGGGAATGCATTCTTGTACAGTCATAGCCATGTTCAGGTGTTTGAAAGTGTCAGCTTTGGGTGTGTGTGTTTGTGTCTGTGCGTGTGTGTGTTTCACTTTCCTGACAAGACACTCTGTAGGCTGCCGCTCCTTGTTGGTCTTAGTCTTGAGGAAAACCACACATAGGGTTTTGAGTGCTATGAAAATACGACAATACCAGAGGGGGAGACTTTGTTTACACTGTAACCGAGTGTATGACAGCTCGCTAGTCTGGTTTGGTAGCGTTTAATGCTCGGCTCGCCGAGGTCGCCGTCTGACTGTAGCGGGGGCTGCTGAGAAAGGTCACCATACGCCTGTCTTTGTTTAAGTTTCCTGCCTGCATGTTCAGAAGACTTGGACGGCATAAATAAATCTGCGGTGCAATCCTACCCTTCCTGCCGCTTTTGTCACAAGATTGCTGCTCACAATACAGCCAGGACAGGTGTTCAGACCCCCCAGAACACTGCTGCATGTGCCTGAGTCCCCCCCCCCCCCCCCCCCCCCCCCCCCCCCCCCCCCCCCCCCCCCC